TCAACACCAGATAGGTCAAAAGTCCAACCCCAACATTTTCATCCCCCTAAAAACAATAACAAAACAACCATCATTAATTTCAAAAAACAATCTTGAATTAGCAAATATTATTGAATTTTATTTTCATCAAAGCCCCTTAATTTTGTTTAAATAAAGACGCACCGCCTTACGCGATTTCTCTTTGAGCTAAATCATTTCGTTGAGCCAACTGATTGGTGTGGTAGCACTGAGCAGCCACATCAGCTCTACATGAGCACGAACATGAGATTGAACAAATACAAAAGCCTGTTTGTATACACACATTGTAAATTCAGTTTGCAACATTAAATTATTATTATTAAATTATTTTTAAAAAAAGACCTTTAAGGTGTCAACACCACATGCCAAATAAAGTGTTGCGGTTTCTTTAGTTGCTTTAGACAGTTGTTGGACATCATAAGGTAGAGTTATATGTGTTAATGTTACAAAAACAAATGGAACAAAGTGATGCATATATAAAATGATGATTAGTATGCATAAATTAGATGTCCTAAAATGCTTAGTGCACATACCGCATGGAGATCCACAATAAAGAATAATGTCTCATACTTATCCTGAAAGAAAAAAAAACATATATATAAATAAATGATCGGTCTAATTCTTTAAACTATATAGAAAGATTTATACATTAATGAAACGGGTACCTGTAGTGATACCCAATTTTTTATTGCACCAAGATAATTCCCAAGGTGTATAGATCCTGTTGGCTGGACATCAGACACAATTCTCTTTCTGTAAAATACATTTTTTGGTTCATAGGTTTAGTTAAGGACACCTCGAAAGAAAATATAAAATAGCAATTAATTGAGATTTAATATAGTTACTTTATAGAGGTGGAGGAAGTTTCTGAAATAACAGGTTCAGGGGTTGCAACACTAGCATCTTTGGCTGCTAACACCTCCAACAATTGGAATATGATTCTCTCGAGTCAAATGTAGTCTTCGTTGTAATTTACTTGAAGTACTATAGGACCTTTTTCAAAAAATCAGTTTATTGGATCATTTTTTGGGAAATGGTTATTTTCAAAAGTCACCTTTAGACTTTTTCAAACATCTTCATCTCTCAGAGACAATATGTCAAACACATGGCAGGCATAAGACTAAATTTCAGAACTAAGTCACTGTACATGGCCTATTCAGCTCATCATTGTTTCAATGTTCAGAATAAAACTTCACTGGCAAAGATGATACAAAAAATGACATATGTGGGTAGAGAGATATATTTATCAAGAAATGGTTAATTGAGCTACACAAAGTGATGTTCACCTTAGGAGTAGAAACATTCTAATCTATCAGCAATTAGCCATTGCCCTACTCCAATTGTTAGCATAACCTGCTCAAGGAGATGAATGCAAATAGGTTAAGTTTGGATAGTAGTGGGATCAGTAAGTCATCATCTTAGGGATCAGCTATACTTGTTATATGTTCAATCATTACTTACTGGAAAAAGTTTATTATGAAGCCTCTGGTGGCTGATATCAGCACCTCCAACCTCCCACCCAACCAAAGTCTAGTACCTTAATTGTTGAAACCGTGGTAGACACTTCTCAACTGAGTTATTTATGCCTGGAATATGGTCACTACCATGAACTACATAAACTATACCATGCTTATCAACTGCAGCCATTAATAACTTTACCTGCATTTGAAGAACATCAAGAAAATAAACATATAAAAAAAACTTAATCAATCGACTAACAAGAAGACTTACTGGATTAGTGATTTTAACTATATCTATAGTCCCTTCATATGTGATGTTTATACATTATTTGCTGAAATAGCTTCTTTTCCTCGCTGCTTATACCTGACATACAAAAAATTGATGTAAATGTCATGTTGTCTACACAGTATTTACAGGGTGTTTGGATATGCATTTAAACTAAATAATTAGTTATGATGTGTTTCGGGAAAAATTCTGATTATTAAGGTCAAAATAATCAGATTTGGAACAAAATAAAATCCACAAATGGAGAATGAATGTAAATGGCATACAAGAATATCATCCAAATTGATTTATTTCAACCTTTTAAAAAGTCAAAAGTATCAAAACAAAATAAAACCCACCGATATTAGAATATGAATGAATTAGGGCTGACCCGAATATGACATCTATCCATTCATGTAAATGTACAGAGACATGCTCATTCTCAAGAGCCATGAGATACTTATGCACAAAGTCAACAGGGTTTTTGGGCCAAGGAGGAAGCTTAACACAATCAGAAAAGTAAGCAATAGAATCAAATTACAACCCTTTAAAAACAGGAAAAAAAAAACAATTAAAGTCCACTTAGCTTATCTCCAAGTTGTGTGGTACCAGAATCAATTAAATTCTCAATTAATAATATCTCTGGAAGGTAAAACACCTCAAGAACCTAAGACAAAAAGAAAAGCAGGTTTTATTATAAATTTTGGCATAAGAAGCCAAAACCTTTTTTCAGCAAACAAAAGATCAATTTTGTAGTTTTGGTATGTATTCATACCAGTTCCTTCACGTCACTCATGTCCTCCATAACATCATTCCAAATAGCAGGAATATCTAAAAACATTATGTCTGCATGATCAAACTTTCCAACTTGTAATTGAATTAATAGAGTGGTAAATGGCTCCACTCGCATGAGGTAATACAAGACCTGCCACAAAGAAGCAAAGTTTTGTTTTACACTTGCACACTGTCGATTGAAAGGGTCATAATGTCTAAATAAAGCCCCCTTATGTTGACTATTTGAATGTTCACATATACCCCAAGCAAGTGAATTTATATCAGAAAGCATGGGATAGCTTACAATACTACTTACAACTCCACCTGCGTAGAAGATTCATATAACTTGCATCTTAAAATCAACATAAATTAGGTTTTATCATAGGATAAGCAATTAAGATTGTTAGATTGGATGTTCACCTTTGACTAGAGGAAGAAGTAACCCTTCATGGTGATATGAAAGCAATAATATAAGTTCCCTAATTGGGGAAAGGAAAGCTTGACGGAACTGTGCCAGGTTTGCTAGCAATCGAGAAGATTCTCATTTTTGCAATTGCACAATGGCAGGGCCCTCTTCACCAAAGCTATAAGTCATGACGCTTCCAATATCTTTGACTCGTATGGTCCAAAATACCCATGACTTCTCATCACTTTAGTTATTGGGTTTCATATCATGATAAAATTCTAGAAACCCTATCTCTCCCTTCAAAAATCAGAGATTACAAATCCATATTACTGAAGATGAACTAAAGATGGTGGAGAATTTGCCCTAAATCAGCGGTGTTAGAGGAAGAAATAGAGGAAAAGGTAGCGAGTGTCACTGGAGAGAATGTAGATGAACGATTATAAGCACATCATACCTTTGTTAAACCGAAAGAGAAGAATCGGACCTGCTTCTCATTCAACCGAAACTATGGGTTTCATATCATGATAAAATTCCAGAAACCCTATCTCTCTGCTACAATGGTTCAATCCTGCGTTTTGATTCCGCCACAACCACCACAATGGTTTTGACTCTCGATTCAGTATAGGGAATAAACCATACAAGAGCTATCAAATAACCCTTGGAGTGAAATTAAATAAATCGTGAAGATTTTAGTGGATAGATGAACATCGATTTTAGTGAAGAGATGAAGAGCTGGGGAGGGGACGAAATCGATTTCTAACTGAAAAGAAAAATCTAATTGAATAGATATACCTATTAAGGTGCGGCCAGGGATGTGAGACGGGACGCAATCACAGGGGTGGTGGAAGAGTCACATTCGTAGTCATCAGTGCGATGGAGGAGTCGCACACCCAATTGAGAGTGAAACGATTCTGTTATAAGTATTAGCTTATCGTAGGTCGATTTGTAATGAGGAAGGTTTGACGTAGCCGGAGGAGAAGTGACCAAAGGGGAAGCAAGGTGAATCGTCCATTGTTTCAGAGCTAAGAGAGATGATAGATTGTTTTTGTTCTTGAAAAAAGCCCTAGCTAAAATGGTCACAACGATTTTGTGGAATTTTGTATTTGGTGATGTTTTGGGATTATTTTGTGCGGGAAAAGAGTAGTGGTTATGATATTAGGGTTTTTTGGGTATTGATCAGTGAGGAGAGGGAAGAATGATGGAAATAATGTAGAGGACGAACGAGATGTTTGATGATACTGAAGATGAAGATGAGGGACCTAGAGCTTTTTCTCGCTAAGTAGAAGAGGCGGGGGGATTAATTTTTGGGATTCAATAGGCGGGGTAATTTTTGTGGATTTCATTTCCCGCCTAAAACGCGTGTTTCACTTAAAAATTATAAAGCTACACCTTTACATGACGCACATTTTATGAAAGGCGCCCTCCGCATTTCTTTTTTTTTTTCTTTTCTGACACTAATTTTAGGGCGCGCACAAATGCGTGCTCTCTATCCTTCAAATTTTGCAAAACTGACATTATCTTTTAGGGCACTTACAAATGCGCGTCGTCTATCAGCGAGTGTCATTGTTTGTGCATCATTAAAGGGCTGTTTTCTTGTAGTGATCTTTTATTTATCACCATATTGATTACTCATTATTTATCGTTTCGGGTAATCAACTTCTTACTTGAATTATTACACTTGTCCCATGCTCTTAGCATGCACACAATGTTTACCTATGGTCCTTACTTTGTGAAATAGATCAAATGAACACATTTCCAATCCTACTCATTTCACAACTCCTAATCCTTTCCACAAGTGATAGAATATCAAATTCTTGTCACTTATAGAATATGTTAGATTCTAACACTTTACGCAATGATCCTTTTGTAATGTCACTGCACTAAGGTCACAATGACTATTGCCAATGGAATTACAAAGTCCTCTATCGGATATTGATACAAGACAATTCCATAGATGTGATGTTTCTCACTCAAAGTACATTTCTTTAAACATCCTTTTGCATAAAGTTTCTAATCTAGACATAGATTCTCAATATCTAACTCCCAATATGGAAACCTTTCCATACTTACCATATCACAACTCATTATTAATAGAATCTTATCTATTCATAATAATGTCGATATGCTCCATCCAATATCATACTTCCAACTACTCACAAGCGACCGATCCTTAGCAAGCCTTGGATCGTCCTTTGATAGTTGTTTAATTATCTTAGTCAAAACCGATTCTTGTCCTTTTCCCTCTAAATGTGCTGGACATTTGGAAAATTTTAGAATGGTCAAATATTTTAGCATTTTCAATCATTCATACACCCAAAGCGCATGAGACACGATGCATGATGTCTTACATGAAGATTTAATACTTTATCAATCTTTTGCCATAATATTTTATGTACTATGTTCTCACGATTCGAATTATGAAGAGGGATGCCACAATCATAATCGAAATTTTGAGAACACACTATGTACTCTTGACAAAATTTATTAACATTCCACAACTTAAGCCTTTAGATTTGAAATGAAGCATAATATTCTCTCCCTTAATTATAGGAAAACAATTATTCAACCCTTACAACTTTGCAAAGTATGACTTTTGTTTTCTATAATTCATATTGCTAACTTGCAATACTTGCCTTAATAATCATACAATAATAACTTTTATGCTCCCACTATCATGATGATTATTATAAACATATCAATTATTCTCCCACTAGCTTTGACATGTATTCAGAAACAACTTAACTTCCAGAAAAACAATACCTATTGAATTTCTTAAGTTCATGTTTCTAATACTTAATGCTATGATAATCCTTTATCAAAGCTTCTCAAACTTATACACATTTGCCTTAGATAACTCATATGTGTGTCTAAACAATCAAGACTAATTGCCAAATCTCACAATTTAAATCATGGAAAGGAATACCGTAACCATAATCAAATTTGAGAATACAGTTTTACAATCGTTATCTTCTTAAAATCTCTCTTGGTGAAAGCATTTCTTCACATCCATCTTCATGAAGGAGGAAATCATATGAAACTTAGATTTTAGTGGTGTATGTGTTCCTATCCATGTGAATTTGTCAAAAACAAAGTTTACGACAAATTCAAGCTCATATGGACCGAACTTTCTCAATCTTGATTTCTTGCCTTATGGTAACATGGCTGCCCACAATGTCTTCCAAGAAGTTAAGCAGCTCACCCTTTCTTATGAATGTACTTTTCATTGATTAAAGTCCTTGCCTTTTATGCACTCACAGAAATCATATGCATAATTAACTCGATTGGAACGACACAAAAACAAGATAATGCCAACACGATAGGCTGTAAACTTCAAGTCGTGTGCTAGTGATGTTCGATAAGGTTTATTTAGATTTGTTCTTGAAACCTTTCAAGACCATTAAGACTCCCACTGACTCCTTGACATATAAGATTCTCTTGTTAGTAAACATTACTCGACAAACAAATATTCAAGAGTTAGTGTAGCTTTTATCAAGACAAAACATTTCATAAAAATTGGTCCTAGTTGGTCTTTGTCTTATCCAAGGCATCACAACTTTCCAACTTCAAATGTGCGAGAATAAAACTTTCCCAATTCAACATTTGATGAATGTTATAAACCTTCTTAATACTTGTCACTCAATGTCACAATCTTAACTCTTAAGACTTGTTTTGGAACTAAGTATGATTGACTTCTTGATTTAACCATTTTTTCAATTCTTGATTCCTCTTCTCAGACACACATCTGTACTAAGACTTACTTAGAGGATCAATTAAGACTTATCATAAAACATAATAAAAGGTACTCTCTCTTCTTCTTAGAATAGAGGAACTTTTATCTTTCTGCCTACCTGATTCTTCTTATTCGTTCTGCTATTGATTTAAACCTTTTCCAATCAATTCAGAATTACACTTAATCTTATAAGTACAATCATATTTACTAAACCTTTAGTAAATCATGATGAATATCCTTGTTAGTCTTGCGGTGGACTTGATCAACACACAACCTTGTGTCCTTGATCTCCTAGTCCTTTACTTGACACTTTGTCAACGAATTAATCTAGTTTTCCCAAATGTGAAAGTTTATTCATTCATCATACAATACTTGTTGCATGATTCCAAGTCTCTATCCAATTGAAACTTGGGTGATGAGAAACTTTCCCTATTTGGTAAATTCTTAACATTTCCACAAATAACATAATCAAGAATCACATTCATTCGTTGTAGAAATATGCAAACACCAATTTTTCATAACGATTTCATTGCAAGGAAATAAATAAATAGATAAATAAATGATTCATACCAAAATTTATTTTATTCATCAATGCAGCGGAAAACATTTGTCCTTACAATGCAAAATCAACTGAAAACTATGTAGTTAAAAGAAAAAATTCCTAACAACTCTATCATAACTTTCTAAGCTCCAAATCTAATCTTTGAATCCATGCAATCGGGATCCATTTCTTCGTGATTAGATTCATCTTACTCTTTCATCAAGCTTCCTCTCTTTTCATTGATCCTGCAAAACATTCAAATGCAATCTTGTCACATTAAGAATCAACGAATAGGAACTTAATTGAGTTATATAGTGAATTTTACCTGAAGCACAATCATACTCTTTGACTCTACCATCTTCTGGACTCTTCAGGCTCTTAGGGAAGACTTGTATCCAACGCCCTTTCTCTTGGTAGCAAACGCAGGTCGGTTCTCCTAGAACGTCCTCAGAAGCATGG